TTTGACTGTCACCCAAAAGCAACTGTTCTGTCACAACTGGATAGACTTAACTATTCTGCACTCACAGAGAAAGAACACCTTCCCAATGAACAACTGAATGCCAAGGGTTACTGGAAAGAGAATTTTTTTACAGGTTTTTTTTTTAAAATAACAGTGACAAACAGGATCAAGTATTGCTTTTATGCAATTATATTTCAAAATAATGTTTAGTCAAGATTTTCAGGTCAGGACACTGGTTAGACAGTAAGATGATGACATTCCCTACATTTCTTATAAGAAGAATTGGCTCAAAGACCCAGTTCACACATTATGGCAGTAAATCATTGGTAACCCAACACCATGTGTGACACCAATATTTCACATATAAACCCTTCAATCAGGCCAAACAGAAATTGTGCCATGCCATCCAAACCCAGGCAGTATAAGTTAATCACAGGTTCAACAAACTACAGATAACCTACAATTAGTTAACCTATGGTGTCCAAGTTTGGACAGTACAGTGCAACCTCCAACTGGAGATTACATACACAAAATAGTTGCAAAACACACCTAGCATGTACCACAGAAAGTTTTGGAATACTTAAACAATGACTTGCCACCATCATGTATAAACAGGCCCCAAAGTTTGGTGCTCTGGTGAGTAACAAAGCAATTCTACGATAAACTATGTCTCAGTACAATAAACTAATTATTGAACAGGCCTGCTTTCAGCACATATGAATTAAAAATCTATTATGTAGACTGACTCAAGGAAAAAGGAGGAGAGAATTGACTGGAGTTTACAGCCTACACCCAAAATTTTAGTTACATGAATGAATAATCAATTGCATACTTAACTTCCTCTGACCTACAGGGCTAAATTTAGTATTAAAGGCAAAAAGGACTTCTGCCTATTAACCACAGTTGGGAGTTTTAAAGGCAACTCATATTGAAGATCTTATTCTGGAAAAAATAGCAAGTAAACTAGAGGAGAATTAAACATCGAACTTTAAAAAAAAACCAGTTCCTGTACCATAGACCTATAGAATAATCATGTCAAGTGGGGTTTTTTCCCATAGTACTGATTATTTTATATGTAACCACACACACATACAAACACAGACACATAGACAATTTCTTGTAGTAATTTTTGGCATCGAATACAGAGTCTAATCAAAAAGTTGCTGATTTCAAACAGGAAAAACAAAGCATTCTTAAGCAGACCAACGTGACCTATTTTCCCCACACTTACACCCCTGCAAACCAGGATTTTTCTACAATTTCCATGGGAAAGTACCCAAATCCTTTATTTTCCTAACTATGTACACCTTTCCATATACAGAAGCTATAGTAAAACTGGAAATTTAGTACAGGTTTCATGCATATTATTGCCAGAAAAGATCCACTTGTTTACACAGCAAGTACTGTTATCCATGCACAAGGTACTATACTCATGCCTATATTAGTAGTATCCCTTGCTTATATGGATATTCAGGGACACATTCTGGTAATGGCATCTAAATCATAATGTAGTCCCACAACCTCCTGGAAGTAGGGTCTTGATTAGTGGTCATAAATTAAGTATACAGTTGAGCTAGCAGCTATTAAAATGCATTTTCAAAGATTTTACATTATTTGTAGTACACTGTTTTATTGTTTTAAAAATTTTAAACAATATTTAAAATTGTTTTATTGTTACCAGTTTTTCAAGTTGATGTCCACATTAGTTTATTTTTTGTAAGCCATCTTTGTTAGGAATTATCTGAAGAGCATTGAATATATAAAATAAAAAGTATGTTCATACAAACAGTTCAGTATAGTGCATTATTTTCAAATTCTTTTAAAAATTAAATTGTATCTGAAAACTAAAACATTTCAACAGTTTATTTGAATTTTAGTTGAACTAATATTTTCTCTTTTGCTAGCAGTTATCAAGAAGCTATTATATTTAAGCTGAAAGTACATGATACTTAAGATATATTAAATTGTAGCCATGTGGCTAGTGGGGCGGGTTAGAAATTTAAATAAATAAAATACTTTCACTATAAACATTTTTCATAGAACACTTCATGAAGTTTTCTACTGACATCAGTTCTTACCGGATAGCCTACCACACTAACCCAAAAATGCCTACGCAGAACTGCAAACTATGGTGAGACATGAAATGCCATTCTAAAACATCCACGGGAACAAAAAGTTACTAATTCAAGATAAGAGCAGCCCTAGAAGAAAATGGTGTATTTTCAAGAAAAATTACAAAATCAAACTAGCTTGATTTTTTTTTCATTTAAGATTCAAACTTCTGGCATCACAATCAAATTCTAAGTTTAATATGTCCACTATTACAGTTTAAGTATTTCCACTATTTCTCACAGCCTTTAAAAGCTTGGACAAATTCAAAAACTACACATTTAACCCCCCCCCCCCCAATCTGTCCTGCACCCCAGGCCAACCCACATACAATTGCACTGTGATCAATGGCCATAATTACTATTCCAGTGCAGCTGCCAGCCAGCACACTTGATTCCAGCTTCAAAGCACATTTTTTCATCAATCTAAAATAAGCTCTAACTCTGATAAAGGCCAAAGCAGAAACACAGCAAGGACCAGTCATGTTACCAGTGCAGACAAATCGTAGTATCAGATAACACACAACCAGTTTGTTTAATTGTTAAATTGTTGCTATCACTTTGCTTGGAAGAGATTCCCTTCAAGCAAGAGCTTAAGTAAAATGCAGGCCCTATCCACATTACTTATTACAGGTCAACCCTGAATTGAGGACTTATAGCCAGATATTTGATTTGCAGCATCTATACTAACCTCAAGAAATCTGCGTATGTATAGTTCAAATTTCAAATTTAATCAACTCTAGCAAAGGAAACTATACGGTAGTTCATCTCTCCCTTACCCTGCCCCCACCCCATTTCATTTAGTCCTATCTGCCTGCATTTGTTTCATGCAGAACCTGAAACTAATACAAACTGAGTTATCTCTACCCATAGTTAGCTGAATTTAAAAAGATGTCTTCTGAAAGGCAGTTCAGTATACTTTTATGATACAACTATTTATACAAAATTTTACACCATGTACTGTAGTTAACAACTAAACTAATGAGCAGTGGGTATAACTGCCCCTAAATACCTTCAAAAAATCTTGACACATTTTTCAATAACCTTCTTCATGATTTCTTCAAGTAGAAAAAGATACTTTGCTCCATGTGTTTACTATTGAACTTGCTGGATCCAGTGCTAGTTTTAACACAGCTATTTTTTTCATGCAACCTAATTTTGTAAGGAATATAATGCAGAACTACCATGAAGTATAAAAAATGGCTAAGCCACCCATCTGTACAATTTATAGCTAGTTAATAAGTGTGACATACTAGCTATCTGCCAAGGAGGAAAAGTAAGTGGCCCAATTATAAAGAAGACTACTACACTGGGATAAGTTGTTCCACAACATGGGTCACATCAGGTTCACAAAAACCTTTACCATTCCATAAAATATGTATATAAGTACCTGAAAAAATCCCAATATATATTTTTGCTTCACTTTAAACATTATTCAGTGTATGTTAAAGAGACTGATTAAAGCCACTTCATATAGACAGGGCAAACCAGGCACACTGGTATTTACTATAACCAATAATGTGAGATGTGGAGATTTCTTTCTTCAAGTACTAAGTGGACATAAGCTGGGGAGCCACAAACTTCCAGTGTATATGTCTGCCACATATCTTGGAGTTACACATTTTCCATACAAACAATACCTTTTACTATAACAAATTACAGTGTGGCTGCTGCTGTACTCAGTAAGAAGCTGATTGGTGGGAGGTTTAGGACAGATAAAAGGAAGTTCTTCACACAGCATAGAGTTAAACTACAGAATTAACTGCCACTGGAAGTGGTGATAGCCACCAATCTAGATGGCTTTAAAAAGGGTCTGGATAAATGCTACCAGTGACTACTAGCCTTGCTGGCTATGTGCAACCTCCTTTACCAGAGGTGGCATGGCTGCATATACCAGTTGCTGAGAAGCTTGCACAAGAGGAGGTCTTGCAGCCATCCTGCTTGAGGAATCCTTTTGAAAGCTGTTGCCATTATGTGTATGGAGTGCTAGACTAGACAGGCCATGAAACTGATCCAGCAAGGCTTTTCTTAAGTCCTTATGTTCTTAAGACAGAGAAACAAACCAAACAAAAAGCAACCCTATGGATAGTTATCTCAGGGCAGATTGTATTAATTAGATTTTATCTTTTGGCATGTTAACCTATTAGGAACATGTTAACTTATTGGAAAAACTTGCATAAGCCTAGAATACCATAATCAAACACTGGTAAGAATTGGTAAGATGAAGTTTTTGTAACAATTTAGCAGAGATACAGTTAAATTCAGAGGTCTTCTTAGCTCCAAAGAAAGTTTTATTCTCCAGAAAACTTGTCCTCCATTTTCTTGATATGGTATTATATGACGGAATCATCTCCAGTCAACAATAAGGTATTACCTATGACTTCTTTAAAAATATGCTCCCTTAAAACTGTAATTTAATAATTTAAGCATAACAGATCTGAAATGAAGTCCAGCATCCCTGAGGACTCAACCTATCAAAAAAACTATATCCAAGTCCTAGTCTCAGAGCTTCCAATTAACCTTAACAAAGGCTATTTACAGAAAATTCAACTCATGTTCCTCTGCTGATGGAAGGCTTCCTTCAGTGGAGCCGAAAAGAAACAATGTTCAGCAGAACAAAGAGGGGTGTGGGAGACCCTTTGGAGTACATTTTGGGGTCATGGAGTCTGCAGGAATTGCTGAACACTGCCCCCATTCTGTTGGCAGAAGCCAGTCCTCAGTGGAGGGAAACTAACTAAAGTTCACTGTACCCATAAGAATGCTGCTAATAGATCATTTAAAAGATAGCTAAATTCAATCATAATCTTCTATAAATTACTCATGAGAACAGAGGCCTTCTTTTGAGACTTTCAACATGGAAACCCAGAAGGCAAGTTGGCACCTCTCTATTACCTGCAGCTCACACCAAGCAACCTCCACCGTGGTCTCAGTGTCCAGCCCCTTGTAGACAGTCTTAAAGGAGCCTCTGCCAATCTCGATGTCAAACTTAAGAAAACGACCATCAGGGGAAACCGCCACAGCTTTTGTCTCCAGCTCTTCAATATCTTCCTGCTGCTTATTCCGTCCTTCTGGCTGATCCCGTACAGAAGCAACAATACTTCCCGCTGTACTGGTAGGAGGCCGCTCCACTGCCTCCAATCCCTCCTCCTTGGCCAACAGTGGAACAACATCCTTTGCTACCAGAATCTCTTGACCTGGCTGCTCCTCTGCAGGTGGAGGCACAGGAGACAACTGCTGCAGCAGCGTGGGGGCCTGGCTGGCCGTGACAGAGGCACATGCAGGCTGGATGACAGACTCGGGAGGGGAGCCCAAGACCGGCGGGATGCTCCCTCGGGCAGCATCAGCAGGAGGCGGCGCTGCGGGCTGCACCCGGGGAAGCTCCAGAGCGGTTGCATTCGAGTCACAAATCACGCTCCGGCGGAAAAAGCGGTGCTCGGTGGCTGCCGCGCCACGGCTGTCCTTGTCCATGGTGTGACGGCGGCGGCGATACTCCTCGCTGCGGCCCCCGCCACCCTCCGAGCCTTCGGGGTCCCCGGCGGCGGCCGTGGAGGCGGCGGCGGCGGCGGCCACCCCCAGCTTCTCTCCAACGGAGCTGTCCGAGCTAGAACCGTTCTTGGGCGGCGGCGGCGCCAGGAAGCGAGGAGTTGCCGCCGCCTTCGCGCCATTCTCCGAAGCACCCCCCGACATGGTGTCGAGCACGGGAAGGAGAGGTGCCGAAGAGCGGGAGCAGGAGGAACCGCACCACCACCCGCGGTCGTCGGTCGCTGCAGCAACTGACTCGAGGAGGGTCAATGCTCGGCGGGGAGCGCTCCGAGGAGTTGCTCTTGCTGCTGCTGCTGCGGTTGCGGCGGCTGCAGAAGAGGCTCTCGGAGGCTCCTCGCGGCGAAGAGAAAAGGCGGCGGCGGCGGCGGGTGCTGCCGCTGTAGGATCAGAGCAGGCTGGGCCGTCGGCGGGCTGGCTCCCCGATCAGCGTCCGCATCCATCCTGCTGCAACGGCGGGCCAAGAAGCAGGGCCGACATGGAGCAGCAGCGAAGAAAGGAAGGGACGAGATGGGGAAGGGGGAGGAAGGGAAAGAAAAGGAAGGGGCCGGGCAAGAGCCGACAGCAGGCCCCGGGCTGGCGGGGTGGGGTAGGTGCGAGGTGGGGGCAGGCCCTGCCCTGTCGGGGCCGCGCGCTCGGGCTCGCCCCGTTCCTTGCCTCAGCCAAGTCAGTCGGAGTCAGGCACTCGCTCAGGGCCCTGGCGCGTCCTCGACGCCTCAGCCAGCTGCCGACGACGACGACGCTCCCCTTCCTTTGCTCGCCTCCTCACAAGATGCTGGAACTGCCGCCGCCGCCGCCTCGCCTCGCCTCCTTCTCCCTTTCGTTCTCACCCACAAGAGAAGGCGGAGGCCACCCCCCGCCTCACTCTCCGGCAATGCCCGGCCTCCGAGGCAGGGAAGGAACAGCGTGGAGAGAAAAGATATAAAAGAAAAGCCGAGCCTGTGTCGTCTGCCTCAGTTGCTTCCCCTCGGTCCTTCCCTCCCGCTCCTGAGGGGAAAGGGGGATGGGCCTCTTACTGCCACCTCTCCCAGCGAAGGAGAACTTGCCGCACTAAATGGCGACTGTATCCGACACCAACACTCGCTCAGTTAGATCGAGAGAGGCAGAAAGGAGACAGCCTTGAAGGCCACGCCCCCTTTTCCGTCCTCACTCCAACACGCCTGCGTCAACGCCGCTTCGCCTTCGTTTCTAGCCTGGGAGATGTAGTTCTAGCCTGCCTCTAAAGTACTGAACTACGGTGTAGCCTGCGAGTCCCATGATGCATTGGTGAAAGCGTTATTAAAATGAATGGAATTGTGGGAGTTGTAGTTTTCCTTTCATAGATGACTTGGAATCTTCCTGTCTCCACTGAGCCTCGTTTCACCCTGTGACAGTGTGTAGTAAGCAGAGGGTTACGTAGCACGAGCAGGAGTTATCTATAGGTTATTTCCAATGGAGTAAAAACAAGTTTTCCATCATGCTTAGATCCTCTATTTTTCTCCTCTAGTATAAGATGTAGACTTTAAAGGTGGGAAAAAAATCTGCCTTCAACTTATATACAGCACGGAGTGGACTTTGTTTGAAAATTCTTATTTTGCAATCAGTGTTGGTTTTAAAAGTATATTGCTTGTTAACAAAGCCCCAAAGTAACCCAAATGTGTCTGTAGTTTTATACTTTAAAAAAGATCATTTTTAGGCAGTAATCTTATGCACATTTACTGAGAAGCAAGCTGCATTCAGTGTAATAGGAATGACTTCCAAGTAATACTGTGGAGATGGAAGTCCATACACCCATCTATGCAGAAGCCAAAAATTTATGCCTGATAGGGCTATCGATGGCTACTAGTCCGGCTGACTATATGCTGCCTCCAGTTTCAGAGGCAGTAATGCCTATGTACACCTGTTGCTTGGGGAGCTTGGGCAGAAAGATGCTGTTGCACCCATGTCCTGGTTGGCCACTTTGTGACTAGAATGCTGGACTGGATGGGCCAGTGGTCTAATCCAGAATGACTCTTCTCATGTTTTTATCTACTTTCTGTTTTAAACTAAGAAGAGTTTTTTATGTCCAAATCTGGGGCAGCAAGCAATGTTGGTCAGTTTAAACAATGACTTACTAAAATAAGCTCCTTGCTTACCCTAGGACTAAATTGTGGGGTTGGCATTACCTTCAACTAGGTCATTGGTTTGCTTTGATTGATCATTGTCTCGTGCTAATCCTTATCTGACTCCTGTTAAGTAACTCTGGGTGTCTGCAGAAATGACCTTGCAGCCCAAAGGCAATTTCATCTGTTTTGTTCTTAACAATTTTCTTAAGTCTTGTAAGTGTAGTTCATTTTGCAGGACATATATGTGGAACAATTAAGCTATAATATGCAGCTTCAACTTTGCGTGTTCATATGATGAAAGCGGTAATGGAGCCATCATCACATGCCGGAAACCACACATGAAACTGAAGCAATATCCTAATGTGTTGCCTGAAGTGGCCTTTGTAATTTACAGTGTAGCACAAATTAAATGTCAGTTTGGAGATTTCTTAGCAAAATTCCAGATTAGCATTTGTGCTTCAGTGGCAGCATCTCAGTGAAGATATTGAACAGTTCCTACCTAAATACCTTCCACAATAATTTTCAGATCTAGTGACTGAGAGGATAGGGTTGCTTTGACTGCATGTGCTCTTGCTAGATTAGATTCAGGCTTGGTCATACTTGGAAAAGACCCATTGAAATCTATTTTAAGTAAGATCATCAAAATCCAATGCATTTATTTTACCTAGTTCAGTTTTTTAAACAGATCTTAGGGAATATTTCAATATATTATAAACTGATTTTAACAAGAATTTAAATCTGTCTATAGAAGGGATTTACTGCAGAATTTAAAAGGATTTTTCGTTTGTTTCATAGCCATTTGGCCTCCTTCAGTGCACTTTTGTTCTTATCATCTCTGTGGGTATGCATACATGCATATGCTAACTGACAAAAAACATCATGTATGTGATGGAAGTGAACTTAGACCACTAAATTTTTGACCAAAGTAAATCTGCTTCTCTTTAAGGTGCCCCAAGCCTTTAGGCAGACTAACACAGCTACCCCTTTGGACTATGAAAATGGATTTTGTAGCTGCAGTTCCAGGGGAACTGAGGACCTTCCTTGTTATTTGTTCAAGCATCATCGGTATGAGTCAGGAAGAAAAGAACTATTGATCCCTGTTCTTGCTGGATTACAATTTTGGACACTGTGCATACGATTTGTCTGCTGTTGGAAGATTTTAATGAGAGGTCAGCTAGAAGGTGGCTGCTTTGCAGCATTGGCAGTGAAGCTTCACAATAACTTTTTTGAAAGCAAGGCATGCACAGACAATAGGCGGGAAGGATCACACATCATGCTTCAGCACCCAACAAGTAAGACATGGAGGCTGGGTTGTTTGCTGAACAACCTACGGTATGCAGGACAGATACCAGACAACACATGGGATGCCTGATAGACGATTGGCTTCCCATGACTTGTTCTCCCCATCCTTCCCATGTCCAGATAACTCTGGCACTGATCCCAGAGGACTCTTGTGGTTAAATCTGCCTCTCCTCCCCACAGCTCCCTGGCTCTGATTGCCACCCTTTGCTTTCATTACCATGTTGTGGCTGTTTAAAATGAGCACAATTGGAACAAATGTATATATTCTTTTTCAACCCCTGAAAATGTACAACTACCTTTTTAATTTTGTATTGCTGTTTCTGATGGCTTTTAACAACCGTGCTCTTACAGCTATCCAAAATGAGTAGTCTCGGTTAATTTGTGTGAGCTGTCAGGGACAATGGGGAAAAAGCTGGGAAGTAAATTCCTCAAACCTCTAACTACCCCCAAAATGGGGAGATATTAATTCTTCTCACTTTTCTGGGGCCCTTTTCAGCATGCTTGCTACTACAGGAACTGTGGATCCCTGACAGTCCTTTAATATGCAAGAATGAACAGAAATGAAATGATAGGAACATGAATGGAAATGTGCACCAGTTTAAGGACTGGGAAGTTAAGTAAGGGAATTTTGCACATCTCTATTGACTGCCCCTTTACTGCAAGTGCTCACCGTTTCCCTCTATTTACTTCCAAGCCCTTCACTGGGTCTATATTTCTCAATGCAAAAATATGCAATGCAAATATTCCTGATTTTGTTAACCCTTACAGGGCAGCAGAATGGGTCAAAAATAAGGCACCGGCACCAGCAGGACTTTCCCACCACAGGCCCCCATTCACACCATCCCTTCTACAATAACCACAGCAATGAGCACTCTGAAAAAGTGCCAAAAAGGGGGAGGGAGTTAATATCTCCCCTTTTCATTACCAGCTGGTGTAGCTGGAGACTGTGAAGTGTCAGAAAGGTGCAGGACAGTGAGAAGTGTCCATTCAGCACTTAGAGCCAAGAGGATCACATCACCAAGGGAAAAATATCCTCCCTCTGTCACCTTTGGTGCAGTTGACTCTCTGTCAATTTTCCCTTTGGCAACTGAAAAAGATTGACCAGCAAGAGTACACATATCGGACAGCTGTTAAGTGTGCACTTGCAAAAGCCTGAAAGAAAAAGAATTACCACCCCAATTGCACATTTTTGAGATACTGAAACAGATTATATAAGAGACAGTTGTTCCAAAGTACGATTTCAGCATCAGTGGAAAAGCAATCACTGGTGAGATCAGGAAAAGCCAGCAACACAGGGTTTTTCAGTACTCTTATTGGTGGCACAGCAGTCCATCACACAATCCACAATAAAATCTTTCTCCCAGGTTCAGTCAATATTAACAGCCCATTATGGGCAAGAAGAAACCTACAACATGCCATGGGTTCTTTTTATATCTGGTTCCTCCAAAAAAATAAGTCAGCCTGTACAAAATACTCTGGGTTTAAATAACTTATGGCTAGCTTCTACTCATGGTGAACTGTGGCGTTATGCAAACCTGGTCACACTGGATTATATCCAGTGCTGGTCTAATTTAAGTCCTATCTTATTCTAATAAGAATATATTCTAAGTAGCACTAACATTTGATACAGCACATTTTATTTTAATAAAACATTTTAAAGGTTCTGAAAATGCAGAAATTTGAGAATATTTTCATGGAACAATTTTGCTGTATATTGTGCTGAGTATTTCAATACAGTTTTAAAAATCTGACTAGCTAAAATATAAATGTGGCCATCATCAATTGGCTTTAAGGTGTTACATATGTTGAAATGTCCTGAGAATTAAGGCAACAATCATTAAAATAAATTCAGCTCAGAATATTTTATTTCAAATATGCAGCCCAAGAATCTTTCACAGAAGGTTCTGAAGTAAGATGAATGTAAACTGCACTGCTGAAGAAACATGGTTCCATATTAAAAGACCAGCCAGCGAGTATATCTATTATGAATGGGGAAAACTGAGGATTTGAGCAGTTTTGAAACACTAAAACTTTGAGCAGGGTTTATCTATATCAAATCCTTTTTGGAGTGACATTTTCTTTTCCTCAAAAGAACATTCTAGTAAAATGAAGAAACCACAGGACTGTCATGAGTAAGAAGAGAAGTCTTTTGCCCTGTGTATTTTATAATTAGCCTATTCAAAACCAGCTTTTCTTTTTAAAATGTATATTATTTTAGCATTATGCGAAGCATCTATGGAGTGTTGGGAAGTGCTTAATAAGAGTAATATGATTAAGAACAGGAAACGGTGCTGCAACCAACATAATGGGACCCGAAGTCAGTCTGTGTGCTTCAACAGAACACCACTTTGACGCTGAAGGTACAACAAAAGAACCCTGAACTGTGGGGCTGATTGATTCTTCTTTATATGTCTATTGATCAGGACTTTCTTTCCATGACTAGTGAATTGCCCACAAGAGCAGGCACTTAATAAGAAAATAGGTGTTTAAAATTCCCTTGTGCTCACCACTTCCCCTGCAGCAGTGAAGTCTCCTTAAGGCAGTCCTAAAGACAAAGCCCCTAATTTCTTTTAAACTGATAAGGGTTATCGGTTATATGGATGAAAGGAGATTTCCATTATTGCTACTGACAAATTCTCCATCATGTATTTAACAAAACAGTTAAATTCTTTGTCTATATAACACCTCTTTTAAAAAGCAGTGACTGTCAGT